TCGTTTGGACAAGAACCTGCTCAAGATCTGTAAAGTAGGTCAGTGTGTTTGACTATGAAATTATTCTGAATGGCCCGGGAAAGGAGCATAAATATCAGTGGATGGAATGAAATCAACACATTACGAAATGTATATACCCCATTCCGTTTAAGGTGAATTTTCCCACGATGCTATGAGTAGACCTAACATTTTCATTGAATTTCACATGGTCTTGCTTTCCAAATGTTCTTCTCGTCCCGGCCGGACTAGAATGCGTTTTCGACTTGCCCGAACAAGTCCCATTATCATCACTAGCCGGACTCGAACTCGGAGTTTTATAGCCCAGCGTAAAGTCTTGACACGTTAACAACTAAGTCACATTGTCACAAGCGCCCTTGGGTCACAGGGCAGATGTGAATTTTAAGGAAGACCTTGCATTTTCTTAGAATGTGTTCTGTGGTCAGATTCAACTATCAGGCCTGTTATCACTTTAAACGATATATATATATATATATATATATATAATATTGCAAGAAAATTTATACAATCTCATATATCGGATCTACTGGTAGTCTAGAAAGCTTGTTTATAGACGAAAAAACCAATAAGTTAGTTTAGATAAAGAATCTAGACTGTCGATCCTCAGAGCCCTAATCATAGCGGAATGGGACTAAAGTGACTAAATGCATATTTAAAAATTTTCGATAGTGCCGCAAACTACTCACATCACATACAAATGTGAATAATCGGAACTTTAATTAGAAATATGGCATATCTTCTCTGCTACCGAATGGCTACCGTGTCTGGGTAGAAAAGTGTTAACATATCGTCAGGATTTGTACGGTTCAAGCTCGAATCCAGTTTGAGGGGGCAACGAGACTCAGGCAAGGAAGTCACTACATTGAAGCTTGGATGAGAAAGACATTTTGAATCTACCCTAAAAGATATGGTATGACTAAGTTCCAAAGCATGATACCCCTCTTGAGTATGAATAGGCTTAAAAATACTGTATATAAATGACTGGTCACCTCACTGAATGGAAAAACCACCCAAAATCTAGGAGGTCTGTCAGTTTGTTTCCTCCTGAAGATGTGAGAATCGGGAAACTGGTGACCGTGTGAAAGAGGAGCATACAAATATTCATACAGAGAAGGTTTCGAAAGTATCGGTCAATCATGATTGGGGTTCCAATCGCCCAAAGGTGCATACATTTATGAAGGACATTTTCACTGAATTTCAAACGAGCAAGAGTGATTGGAGCTCTTATTTAAGATTTACTGACAGCCTTGAAGCCTACTTACAGGAATTTAAGTAACCTAGTCGGTTGTAGGGGAAAAACAAATGTTCGCCCACCATAAAATGGGATTTGAGAGAGGCGAGTTTGAAACTATTGTCCAGCCTGGATGGGAATACAATATTCGAAACAAGGTTGCATGAAACTTAATGAAACCATACGGTTGTGGGGAAACCCAAATTAGTGTCAAATGCTATCACCTAACATGGTCCAAGGTGACGGAACCTCTTATTCACGAAGCATATCAATTCATCAGCCAGTTGACAGAGTCAACGAAGGGGTTATGTCGGTTGTAAGAGGCTAAATACGAGAAATTGTGGAAAATAAAGCGATCTACTCACTTGTTTTTCGGGTTTCCACTCTTCTGTTCACCGTCTGTACCGAGACTCGATGCTTGGCGCAGGAGTGGATCCTCAGCTTATCCTCCATCCTTGCCTAGTCGGTGTTTCCTGCGAAGAGGGACGCCTCGAAAAGCAATCGTGGCGACAAAAGCAAATCTCACTCTGGCGTCAGAATGCTCACTTTAAACTCGACGTCTCTGATCAAAGAGTCAGTAATCCAAGTTGACGGCCAGACTGAAGAATGGACATTTATTGGTACCGGTGAGGTCTATTTCGACGCAACAAGACGGCTTTTCGAGCCTTCCACATGCACTCTGGACGGAATCGCGTGTATGCAACGTTTCCGCACAAAAGTCACCAATTTCTGAGTGATGCCCTCTTCTAAACTGGGCTCAACAGGCGCGCCACTTGAAGCACTAATTCCGTAAACTCCGTTTCGTCTGGTACCACTACACCGCGACGGAACGCCTGTTGCCATCGATGCCTTACATGGACACGAAGGACAGCCAGGTCTTATCGACGGATGAGGCGGATCTGCTGTGGTTTTAGCTAATCGACCTGAACTCTGCCACAAAGCAACGCCTCTGCGTTCCGCAATAGTTCACTACGTCTATCTACCCGACAACCAGTGTACACCCAGACGGAACATCTGCCCTCCAGCTAATCGCCTCTCCTACACCAGACCAAGTCAGTCGGTGGTGTAGTGCAGGTTGAGGCTGGGGGTGCGGGATGGCAACATGACAGGCCAAGGGCCTGGTACCAAAATCCGCCACGGCCCAAGCTGCCGCAGACTCAAGCCACTTCGCCAATCGTCTTTCAGACAGAAGAACCGGTGGCCATTCTTAGGCCTCACAGCCGGTGCCAGACGCTGTTGCCTGGCGCAGACAGACGGCCTCCACCCGTCGTCAGGCGCTCCGTAGGGGTGGGGCTGAACCTTCAGGACTGGGTGGTTGCGGAGTTTTTAGGCGCCAAGGCGTGTAACCCTTTTTGGAGAGGACACGATATGGACGGATAGGTATGAGCATTAAGGCATTCCATGAAAATTGCTATATCAACCGGCGCTATGGCATCTGCGAGTCTGGCTGTCTGTGCGCAAGTGTGCACTATTTTGTCATACAGTCGCCGTTGGAGATGATAGTGGGGCAGTAGGCGAGTTGCCAGAAGGAGGGTACAGAAGCGAGAGTGGAGGAGTGCGCGAGGAGAGTGGAGAAGGCGGGAGAACAGAAATGAAATTAGGCAAGTGAGCAAGTGAGCAAGTGTTGCTAGGCTGCGCCGCGTTCTCTACGTCTGCTACAGGCAGACGTGGCAGCATAACTTCCTTGAAAGTAGTACTGCAAGCGCCGGAGAGACTGTACACAATCACATCTCTGCATACCCATTGACACACTTGTGCACGTCTGTAGGCAGTTTCTCGTTGCTCGTCTCTCCGTCGCTCTGTGGTGCAGACGGCAGTCTGGATCGAAGGGCAAAGAAGCCGAGATGACCCGATTATATGGCTTTTTTGTTCTATCCATGCCTTTGCAGAGCTTACGACCATGAATGACACTAGCTCGAATCCCGCCAAGGTGTGAATCTGAGTCGAAACAGGAGGTCCAGTAAAACAGCTCATTTTATCTACAATTCACACATACAAGACCGAATGTTGTGATTTTCGAGACTAACAGTAAATCAACTCTACGCAACGCTTTCACCATATTC